GCCTTCTGTCACCTCACTCTAGCGATGAGACTGATGAAGAAAATATGGCTCAGTTCATTGCGGCAGAAATCTCCAAGGTGTTGAGCGAGCGCCGTTCTTGGCTTTATTTAATTTGAGAAGAAGCCCTAGCTATCAAACAATTTTTGAACGATGTTTGTCCGATGCCCCGAAATTTTTGAACGATGTTTGTCCGATGCCCCGTCAACCATGCTGCGCCTCAGCCAAGGCTACGACGAGGCGGCGGAATGGTTTCGCCGATACAAGAACCACATCCTGCAGCAATGGGACAAGTGTGAGGACAAGAGTGCGTTATCATGCTTGTCAATGGAACAGGTTTTGCAGCGGTGTTTTTCTGTGTCCCTAACTGCTACGCTAAGTCTCTGAGTTCGCGACACCCGTGGCCAGGTTTCTTTCCACTGTGAGCCCTTACAGTGCCAAAGTGGTAAAATCCGTTGCGAAGACACTGCTCGACAACAAGGAAGCGTATGCTCACCTGCAGATGTTTGGGTGCATCTTCAAAGAGATGGTGCATATGGACGGTTTTATGCCCTCGCTCGGGAAAGCAATCCATGTTCTGAGTGAAGTGGACCCCAAGGATCCACAAGCCTGCGAAGCGCGTTTGCATTTCCTGGATTTGAGTGCTTGGACACGTTTGCGCAAAAGCGCTCTTTTCTGCAGTTTCCAGGAAGCATCCGCTATGGCCCAACTAGGCCATGTCAGGAGCTCTGTACAGGAGCCAGATCAGCAGCGGGCCGTGCTGATACAGCAGCTTTTGAAGAACAGCTTCCTCGCCCAAAACAACTCACTGCAAGTCGCAGCCACCGCCTTCGGCGCTGCGCCTCTAAAGGCCAAGGTGGCCTACTTCATGGAGGACTGTGGGCCGTGACGCCGTTTATAAGTTGTTCTGCAACAGTGTTCTCTGCAGCTGGTTTCGCAGGACCCCCAGCGATTGCAGCTCCTTGAGGAGTGGTTTGACGGACCGGCTCCTGGGATGCGCTTATAGTCGTGTCATGTGGCATTAAAGATGAACTCATCCGTGCGTGGCCTTGCTGGCCGAGGCACCTCCCGACCAGCACCGCGCGTCCACGGCAAGGAACCTTTTGGCCTTGGCGATCTGGGTCGGTAAGGACGTGATGTGGAAGGACGTGAGTGGCCCTGAATTTCTCAAGGCATCAGCTCTGGTTGTCAGGGACACTGATGCCGTGAAGAAGGTGGCAAGTCCAGTGGCTCGACATGTGCTGCAGTTGTACCACAAGCTGCTGTCAGTGGCGGGCGATGACGACGACATTCTGCAACTCATCAAGCAAGTCCATCTTGATCTCGGCGCGGCCAAGCTCGGCATCCAGACGCACACAAGCACGGCGGTGGAGTACGACAAGCTCAAACATGAGTCGTTCCAAAATCGGCTCGAGCTCCTTTGCGAAGCTGTGCCGCCCAAGGAGCTGTGTCAGAAACCCCCAAATTAAGCAAAGAGCCCCCAAGTTCCAAAAAACAGGCTTTAGCAGTTTTTGCACATGGGGCACGGCGGCTTGGACTGTTTTGTGGGACGCTGGCTGACTTTTGGAAGGCCCATGTCTGCTTGTGTCGCTTCTGGTCATCCTAAACCCTGAAAGGAAAGAGCCCTTAAGTTCCAAAAAACAGGCTTTAGCAGTTTTTGCACATGGGGCACGGTGGCTTCGACAGTTTTGTGGGACGCTGGCTGACTTTTGGAAGGCCCATGTCTGCTTGTGTCGCTTCTGGTCATCCTAAACCCTGAAAGGAAAGAGCCCTTAAGTTCCAAAAAACAGGCTTTAGCAGTTTTTGCACATGGGGCACGGCGGCTTGGACTGTTTTGTGGGACGCTGGCTGACTTTTGGAAGGCCCATGTCTGCTTGTGTCGCTTCTGGTCATCCTAAACCCTGAAAGGAAAGAGCCCTTAAGTTCCAAAAAACAGGCTTTAGCAGTTTTTGCACATGGGGCACGGTGGCTTGGACAGTTTTGTGGGACGCTGGCTGACTTTTGGAAGGCCCACGTCTGCTTGTGTCGCTTCTGGTCATCCTAAACCCTGAAAGGAAAGAGCCCTTAAGTTCCAAAAAACAGGCTTTAGCAGTTTTTGCACATGGGGCACGGCGGCTTGGACTGTTTTGTGGGACGCTGGCTGACTTTTGGAAGGCCCATGTCTGCTTGTGTCGCTTCTGGTCATCCTAAACCCTGAAAGGAAAGAGCCCTTAAGTTCCAAAAAACAGGCTTTAGCAGTTTTTGCACATGGGGCACGGTGGCTTGGACAGTTTTGTGGGACGCTGGCTGACTTTTGGAAGGCCCACGTCTGCTTGTGTCGCTTCTGGTCATCCTAAACCCTGAAAGGAAAGAGCCCTTAAGTTCCAAAAAACAGGCTTTAGCAGTTTTTGCACATGGGGCACGGCGGCTTGGACAATTTGGTGGGACGCTGGCTGACTTTTGGAAGGCCCATGTCTGCTTGTGTCGCTTCTGGTCATCCTAAACCCTGAAAGGAAAGAGCCCTTAAGTTCCAAAAAACAGGCTTTAGCAGTTTTTGCACATGGGGCACGGCGGCTTGGACAATTTGGTGGGACGCTGGCTGACTTTTGGAAGGCTGTCTGCTTGTGTCGCTTCTGGTCATCCTAAACCCTGAAAGGAAAGAGCCCTTAAGTTCCAAAAAACAGGCTTTAGCAGTTTTTGCACATGGGACACGGTGGCTTGGACAGTTTTGTGGGACGCGGGCTGACTTTTGGAAGGCCCATGTCTGCTTGTGTCACGTTGGCTGAATTTGGACGACCCATGTCTGCTTGTGTCGCTTCTTGTCATCCAAAATCTCAACGAAAACAGCCCCAGGACTTGGAGAAGGCCTTGCCATCGTTGCAGTTCTTGCGGCCCTACCAGAAAAAAACTAAGGCCGCTTCCACTGACACCCGACCCGCCTCGCCTGCGCAGCCGGCTGTGGACTTGCAGAAGGAGGTAGCTAGTTTAGGGTGTGGGCTTCCGGTGTAAGTGTAGGCTTGTTGGGGAGTTCCCGCCTGGTACTTGTTCCAAGCACTTTTGCCAGAAACCCCACCGTTTTCCGGGCATGCAGCGAGGAGGTAGACAAGAAGGAGCAGGACCAAGACAAGAAGGACCAGCCGCTCGCAGAGGTTCAGGCAGCCAGTGCCATTACGGTGGGTAGCGAAGTGATCACAACTGCCTTCAAAAACAAGGACAGTTACGATCAGAAAAGCGGGATCGTGGTAGCTGTGCTGGCCAATGCTGCAGCGAAAGTAGAGCTGCAGGAGGGCCCTTGTCGGGGAGAGAAGCGCAAGTATGAGTTGCGATTTCTCAAATTGAAGCCCAAAGCGCCGAGCGCTGAGGAGGCTCAGGCTCCTGCCCTGGAAGGGCAAGATGCAGAGATCATTGCCAAGCGGCAGCGCCTGGCCGAAGCCGAGGCACTGCTCGGCAACACGGACGACATTGTGTAAAGAAGAGGGGGCAGCCAGAGCACGGAAAATTGTGGCAATGTACGGCCTGAAGGTTCGTGCGATTTAGGTTTCAAGTCTGCAGAGCCATGTTTTAGTTTGATAGTTTGATGTTCTCTCCAAAGCCATAACAGCACTCTACAATTGAGTAGGTCCATGCATGCAGGGGTTTGTTTGGGAATGTGCAAACGCTAAAGCGCGCTAACTCGCACTAATGCAGCGAAATGTGATTGTGGGAAGCCACTAGGAATGATAACCTAACGAACAGACATACAGATACCAGTAGGGTTTAGGGTGTTAAGGTGTTAGGGTGTTAGGGTGTTAAGGTGTTAGGGTGTTAGGGTGTTAGGGTGTTAGGGTGTTAGGGTGTTAGGGTGTTAGGGTGTCAGGGTGTTAGGGTACCCAGAAACACATGAACGCAAGCATCCTAGACACTACAGTGTCTTACAAGATACAGTCATGTGCCGCATGGTGCGTTCATGTGCTATTGCTATGGGCGAAAGCAGCAGCATCATCATGACCAGCGCGATTTGTGTTTTGCTTGGTCTTCATCACCGTGGCCGGGCATGCGCACGATCGAGAATGCATAGTTTGCATTGCCATTGTGATGGTCAGCTATATTTAGGGTTTAGGGTTTAGGGTTGTTACTTTACTCATCTTGATCGGCCTGGGCGAGCAGGTTTTGCGAAAGAATGGCCAGAACTGATATGTGGCACAGCATGAACCATATGTGTGGGTCAGTTGGCTTTATACATACACACATGCATAGAAACATCTGAATCAGACATATGAAGCAGGGTTTATATTGCTGTTTTTGGTGAGTGTATATAAGGTTCCTTTTCAATATTGGTGAGTGTATACCTTGGGTGTCCTTTTGGGGGTACAAGAAATATGTACCTTACTTCATATGCATTTGTGGCCACAGGATGTCCCGGAAGACAACTTTCATACAGGGCCCCTAGTCAGAACCAGAGGGCATGCCTTTAGCCAGATGAACGTCAACACGAGGGGGCTTCCGAAAAATAGGGGACCCCCAATATGTCCCCAAATAATAGGATCCCCTTCTAGTAAGGACCCCAATTAAGTACCCCTTATTCCGGAAACCCCCATGAAGGTTGTGATACCCCTAAACCCCTTAACGCTGACAGGAGATGGGTTGGGCAACGCTGGACTTAAAGACACGCACTACTTAGTCCAAATGTATCTCAATAGTATCCGGGCCTGTTGAATTAGATTCGTTTTTGGTAGTTGGTACTGTCATCATAAAAACATAGGACCCCTAAACCCTAAACCCTAAACCCTAAACCCTAAACCCTAAACCCTAAACCCTAAACCCTAAACCCTAAACCCTAAACCCTAAACCTACATGGTGATGATGGAAAATCTTGGTAGTTCTTTACGCCATACTAACCACTGCCGACTTCTTATGTCTTCGATTCTCGGGGGTACCCTTTTGAGGGGGAGGTTCAGTGTTTAGGGTTTAGGGTTTGGGGTTTGGGGTTTGGGGTTTAGGGTTTAGGGTTTAGGGTTTCGGGTTTAGCAAGCGGTCGCGCGAGCCTGGGCCAATACCAGTTGGGGCTGCGAGGCGGTCGTGAGCTCCGCGAGAAGATCCCGGGCCTTTCGGAATCGTAAACAGGGTGGAAACCCTAAACCCTCAAACCCTAAACCCTAAACCCTAAACCCTAAACCCTAAACCCAATAGGCCAGGTTCGGGGTGCATGCGGCCCGAGCCTCCTTGCAGAAGCTCTGGGTTGTTGTCAGCTGGGAAAGCAGGCCTGGCCAACTCCCCAAGCTTGGGGTTTAGGGTTTAGGGTTTAGGGTTTAGGGTTTAGGGTTAGGGTTTAGGGTTTAGGGTTTAGGGTTTAGGGTTTAGGGTTTCGGGTTTAGGGTTTAGGGTTTAGGGTTTGTAGAAGGGAAGCTCGCTGGTGCTAAAAGCACCCGAGCCGCTCGCTTGCGTTAGCATGTAGTCCCAGCCCAACCTACCGGGAGGCTTTACCCTCCCTCACCGTTCTGTGGAGACGCTCGGTCGGGGACCTCGGTCGAAGCCTCGAGCGCCCATGCAAATGGACAGCGGCGCTCTCGGCAGTTTAGGGTTTAGGGTTTAGGGTTTAGGTTTTGGGGTTTGGGTTTTGGGTTTTGGGGTTTGGGGTTTAGGGATTCAGGGTTTAGGGTTTTAGGGTGTAGGGTTTAGTTTAGGGTTGATGTTTCAAGGTCTTGTTTTGGTGGGGGGAGCGGGGGTTGGGGGGGGAGTAGGGCTTTGGGGATTAGGGGGTTTCATTAGGGGTCTTGGGGTTTAGGGCCGACGAAAACAAAGTCTGTAATTAAAAATGCCTAACTTCGCTGTAAGGACAGGGGACTTAGTAGAAGTTGCACGTCTTCGGCGTATAGGGTCTTAGGGGGAAGTGCTCTTCTTTCTGTTCTGCAGCATGCGCTTGAGGTCAAACAAGGTGATGCCACAATCTATGTCGTGCAGGCGAGTGAAGGAACAAACCGGCACAAGAAAACACTTCGGAATATTTATTGGTTCAATCAATCCTTCCTCATACGCTTGTAAAGCTGCCCACAAAACACGAATTAAAAAAGGAAAACAGCTCAGGGGAGCTAATTTAAGGACCAGACCCGAGTTCCCCAGATGGCCAAAGAAAGCAAACGAAGATAGACACACACATCATAATATCAAACCAACACCTCCCATGATGCAGTTAGCCATCCAGGCTCGGCAACAAAAGGTCTTAAATGGCGCTACTGAAAGCAGCCTTCAAAAAATAACGCCAGTTAAAACACCAAAAAAAAGCCCAGTGGGGCTAATTAAAAGGCCAGACCCGCAGCAGTCAACGACCCCCTTGCTCACATCTTCTAATCCTATGTCGTGCCCGTAGGCTAAAATCTATGCCGAACAGATATACATACATACATATATATATATATGTAGCACAACCCAAAAGACGATATTGTGGTGAGCAAGGGGGCTAGGCCGGTGAAAGTGCAACAAAGATTCTGTGTGTTTAACCCTAAACCTTCAAACAACTAAAGACAAGTGCCTATTCGAATATCAATCCACCCGCTACACATGTCTTCTATTTTAATTATACACTAAAACCAACCCGGCATAGTTACGCACGACACGCCGGTACAGGGGGTTCCTCTGCAGCATCTGGGCACCGAAGTGCCGCCCGAGGAACCCCCTGCCCGTCTCGTAGGGGAGTACACAGTTCCGTTTATTATGCAGTTAGCTGCTGCCTTAGCTACGGTTTTACCGACAACTCGAACTGTGAACTCCCCTAAGATAATGGCCGCGCAGCGGCTTCCGAGACGAGGAGATGTAAGGCAAGGACACCCATTAATGCAGATCTACTTCAACACTTCTACGCCCGTCCAACCCCAAAGCTAGCGTATAAAAGCAAGCTACAACCCCGCACTGCGAAACGGAACTATGAACCCACACTCCTCGTCTCGGAAGCACGCTAGAAAAAATATCCATAAAGGCACAGCTTGCCTACGTGCAGAAAAGAACGCGCAAGGGATCTTTGTCCCTGGGGGGGTATTGAAAAAATGGGGTTCAGGGTTTAGGGTTTTGGGTTTAGAGTTTAGGGTTTAGGGTTTCGGGTTTAGGGTATAGGCATAGGGATATAGTCAGCTTTAAATGGCGCCACTCAAGGCAGCCCAAATGTGGTGAGCACTTCAAATGGCTCAACAGAAAAATGTGAGGACGATGGGGGATGTATATGTTCATGTATTTGTAAAAATGAGATTACGTGTTATGTAAATAGGAGAATAAGGAGATAAGTAAGAAACAACAAAAACAACTCACTCATCGGACCCCCGGGCATCAGGATCCTCACGATCCTCGTCCTCATCCTCGTTCTCCTCCCTCTGGAGAGGGGGCTGATACACGAAATGATGCCCCGCAAACTGAAGTACACGTTCATTGGGGCGGATGAACATGTACTTGGCTTTGGCTTTCACCGCGGCCTTTGCCCGAGCGGGGACGGCTCTCCGCTCCCGTAGCTGCGAATTACGAAGCTGCATGGTCACTCTGTTCCGCGGCATGGGTGCTAGGCACCGTTTGCTCCGCTGGTCGGAACCTGCCATACCAAGCCAGAGCAGAAACAAGCCCAAAAGCAAACAAAGCAAACCAAAAAAAACACAGGAGGATAGAAAAAAACAGAATCCGAAATCCCATCTAGCCTCGCATCCACGCGATCTGGCAGCGCGCACAGATGCCACAGGGGAGCTGGCTCGTGTCCATGCTTCCCCTGCCAGCAGGGAAACAGAAACAGCAACCGGCACTTACCTCCCCTACCCACCGACCCCCAACAAAACCAAAACAAAACCAAAAACAAAACATCGACACCAAGTAGGCTCGAAAAGAGCAAACAAGAGAGCCTGCGGCGCACCTTCCTGGGGGATTCCTCGAGCAAATCACGAACTAATTGATTAAGCAAGCACATCTTTCGAAACATGATTCAGCCTCCTCCTCCGCGTTGTCGTCGAGCCCCAGCTGCCGCCAGAAGTCCTGCTCGAAAACCAGATCTTCTTTAGTGTCCGTAACAATCAGTTTAGGACGTGCAGGCAACCCAACCGAACTCATGACACACGCGACCTCGAACCAACCATTGATACAAACTCTCAGAAGCCACTCCTCTGACTCCTTATCATCCGCAGGGATAAGGACCTTACAGGTATCACAGACCATAGCTCAGGGCCCTCCGGCGAGCTTAGGATTTAGGGCTCAATTGGAAGGTTTAGAGCTTATGGTTTAGGATTTAGAGTCTAGGGTCTATGAGGTTTAAGATTTGGAGGTCAAGATTTATGGTTCAGGGGTCAGGCATATTCAAAAGGCCTACCGCTCGTGGACGAGTGAAACGGCGCTACTGAAAGCAGCCTTAAAAGAAAAACAACGAGGCAAACTACTGCGATTTTTGGCACTGATGAAGTTTAGGTTTAGGGTTTCAGGTTTAGGGTTTAAGGATTAGTTACATAGGAATTGGGTTTATAGCATTGAAGGTTTAGAATCTAGAGGGTTTAGGATTGAAGGCCTAGCCGACGGCAAAAGGTAAAAGACAACTTATATATGTGTATGCATACATATGTATACATACATAGGTAGATATCCAGAAAGATAGATTACGAAGAAGGAGGGGGGGGTGAGGGAAAATCAGTGCTTGGGGGGCGGCTGGAAAAACCTCGCCTTAGGCGCAGGTTTGGCCTTACCCTTGGCTTTCGCCGCAGGCTTGGCCGCGGGCTTGGCCTTAGGCCGCGCCCGCTCCGCCCTTCGCAGACCCCGAAAGACCGCATTTCGCGGATTGGGCGCGCAGCACTTATCAGAACGGATGGGCTGACCTGCAGGGACAGGATGTCGAAGAAGAGGAGAAGGAAGATGCTGTAAGCGAAGGATAGAAACGTCCAAGGAGCCAGCCTCTGACCCGCTGGAGCTCGCACCTGGCGCAGAGGCCACAGGGCAACCTGTCCGTATTGTACGCGGCCCTCGCCACCACCGTCCTACAGGCAGGAACCAAAAAAAGCAATAACAACAGCAACGAAAGCGTAGCAGTAGCAAAGCAGGTGAAGAGACCCAGCTCCTCCTCACCTTGGTCGGCGAGCCGTCCTGACGACAAGGCCAAATACAACTCCGATACCCCTTCAACTCCGTCGACGTCCCCCATTACCCTTTCCCACCTGGCCCCGCAGCTCGGGGTAGAGCTCCTCGTCGGAGTCGAAGACGGAGCGCCGCGGGACCAGGACCTTGCACGCAACAACAAACAAAAAGCTCAGAAACGCTCCAAGATACTATACAAACCAAGTCACAGGTGCGTCGCCGCTGCCCGAGGGCAGTTCCTCAGTCCGAAACAAAAAAAACAACGAAACCAAGAACGTCGCCCCTCTCCCACCCTTCACCCGCACACCAAAACCTGAACAGAATGCACACCAAGATACGACCTGAGCCGGCGGGGCGTTCGCCATTGAGCTCCTGAAAAGATAACAAGAAGAGTAAAACAAATAAGTGAAAAGATAAGCATATTCGGAAGCAAACGTCCTCCCCGAAAAGGTCGATGTCCTCCTTAGACAAGAGCAGCCCAAACAAGCATGAAAGTGGCAAACACTACAAAACGGCGAAACACAGCGATCGAGGAATCGACATCCGCATCATCCGACACATCAGTTCAGAACAACAAAACCCAACACCCACCCCCCCCCACCCCCCAAAATAACATAAAAGTCATATTAAACAAAAACCAAAACAAAAACAAACCAAAAACCAAAAATACACACACACACACACACGCACACACACACACACACCTCCTGCAAAATCAAGAAACCCTACCAACTCCCCAAAACCACGAACCCAGCAAAACCAGCAAGAACAGAAAGCCAGAACACCACACTAGACAACATCGCCAAGCCTCTTCTTCGCCGACATCGAAGTATGCCAGCTGCTCCTTAGACGCAACACCACGTACAGGGAAAAAACAAAAGGCAGCACAAAGGACTACGAAGTCGAGACGCGGCCAAGGTATCATCGTGCCGCGTGGCCTCAAAACAAACAAGCATCAAGAACACCAGGAACAACAAAGTACATGTAAAAATGTTGCAAAACAACATATAAGTCACAGGCATCGTTCTCAAGCCACGTGCCTGCGTTCTCCTGAAGCAAGTCGGATAACACGAGCAGCCAAGGGAGTCCAAGCACGCATACAACACCACGTCGCCCCTCTCCCACCCTTCACCCGCACACCAAAACCTGAACAGAATGCACACCAAGATACGACCTGAGTCGGCGGGGCGTTCGCCAACTCGGCCGGCACATTGAGCTCCTGAAAAGATAACAAGAAGAGTAAAACAAATAAGTGAAAAGATAAGCATATTCGGAAGCAAACGTCCTCCCCGAAAAGGTCGATGTCCTCCTTAGACAAGAGCAGCCCAAACAAGCATGAAAGTGGCAAACACTACAAAACGGCGAAACACAGCGATCGAGGAATCGACATCCGCATCATCCGACACCTCAGTTCAGAACAACAAAACCCAACACCCACCCCCCCTCCCCACCCCCCAAAAGAATAATAATAACATAAAAATCATATTAAACAAAAACCAAAACAAAAACAAAAACAGATTGCATTCCAACCCTCACTCGCGGCCTCACTTTTCTCAAGACCAACCTGCTCGGTCAGCGCGTAGCAAGGACCATGAGCCACGAAGATCGTAGCAGCAATGGTTGCAAGAAAATGCCAAGCATCGTAAGCTGCGCCCATATCTATGTCTGTGTCCCAAGCCACCCCCAAAGCACGGGTGTTCACAGGGGATGGGAGGGCGGGTTAACGTGGTAGGGCGCAGTGAGGACCCAAGCAAGCTGGTCACATAGGTCTTTCGGGTAAGGTTGCGCGAGGCGTGTCCAAGGTACTGCATGAGGGCCACTGCCTGTGAGTTGGAAGTGCCGCTTGTGAGTGCGGGAGCAAAGCCCACCACAACCTGAGCATTGCCGCTGAAGACGAGCAGCATCCAGCGCATCAACATGACCTGCCAGCAGAGTGGTGGGTTTCTTCCAGGGCTTACCCCATTGGCAGAAATCAGTATGAATCAGTTGTGTGTGGGGCGCGTTTGCGATCCGAAGGATCTCTGGCAGGATCCAGCACCTTGAAGACCTCGGGTGTTCAAGTATCCAAGGCAAGCGCAACTCATCCAGCCATTTGATGATGTGCAAGGCTGCCCTACAACACCTGTTCCCAGCTAGCAGACTGTCCCGCTCCTTCTCAGAAAGCTCAATGTCCCAGATCCCCCACGGTTTGTCCCACGAGCGAAGCTGTTTTGTGCGATCTCGAGCAACTGAAAAACTAGTGCAGGGTGGCGCTAACATAGCCGCCAGCACATATCCGGAGCGGATAAAATGCTTGAGCTTCTTTAGGGCAGAAGGCTGAGTGAGGTCAAACTGTGGGCCAAATTGCAAGTCCCATTCTTTGGCTGCGAAGCCGAGGCGACGCACGGACTTTGCCACGCCTCCGGTCCCGGAGAAGAGGTCGATCACGAAGAATCCCCTGTGCCCACGCCACTTAACGAAGGCTTGGGAGCGGGGATGGTGCCACTCATCACACCCGCGAGCTGTTGCTCGGCGTGGAGGCAATGGCGCTGAACAGCAGTCGGCAGAGCATTGAAGTTCATTGCGAGCCGTCCGCTGCGCTCGTACCGGGCCACATTGGCCAGTCGCTTCCATCTTCCGCGTTTCTGCACCTCGACAAGATTTCGCAACTTTCGGCTGACGTCGATAGAGGGACCGGAATGTCTCCACTGGTACGGCATCACTGGAACCTGGATATGGTTGGCGGCCAAGTCGAAGACAGTCACAAAGTCTGAGTACTGGAAGTCCCAGAGTCGCGTCGCAGCATCTTGAGCTGTAAGGGCCCGGAAGACCCGGGGGCCCCAAGGCTGCAGCCAAGGAGAGTCTAACTCTACACTCTCGTCGTACGTGCCCACTTTGGACGGCACCCCCTCCTCTTCTGGGTTGAGAACCAAACTCCAGGACGCTGCCACTTGAGCGGCCGGCGGAACCAGACAGGCGACCAGGCATCTCAAAAGCTCGCTCGGCCTGGCGTAGGAGCTGAGGCCGACGAGAAGGAAGACTGCCATGCGTGGATGGCCCAATCTCTTGATCTCGCACGCCAGCGCCGCCCATACCGCCAGTGGAAAGGCCAGCCGGGATTGCCCTGGTGCCAGGCGACGCCAACCTTTGAGGCTCCGCCATGCTCGGGGCAACTTCAGCGAACCCAAGCGGCCAAAGGCCGGGTGGCGGTGCATAATGGCCGCCAGCACCTTGTCGCCCCTGTGCGCTACACCGTCCAGCAAGACAGGGTTGGCCACCAGGAAACTCGCCCTTTTCTTGGCGCCCGCCGTTGCCGCAAGCAAAAACAGGTCGTACTCCTTCGTGTAGTAGGCCTCCGTCTTGGCAGTCACGGCCTTCTTCTCCAGAAGGCTCAGACCCTGGTCGGCTGCTTCCATCAGCTCTGTCACATACTTCCTCACTCGCCTCCTTGACCTCCGGGCCAAAAGTCGGGTCTGTTTCTTGGACTCCACTGGTTCTGAAGTACTGCTGGAACTGTCGTTCTGGTCCACATCGCCCTTGGTCACCCGCAGGACGCGCCGCTCGCCCACGCTGCCGAGGTCGACAACGCCCGGCAAGTTCTTGCTGCGAAGTTCTTCGACCAAGTCCTGTTTGGGTAGTGTTTTGCTGGTCCTGGCGCCAGTTGGCTCTTGCTGCCTGGAGGGGAGCGCCAGCGTCCTTGTCCGCTTTGGCCCGGGACCTCGGGGCGAGGTCTCGGGCAGCAGGGTCCGAACCCTCTTCGTCCCAGGCGCGTTGGGCGCCATGAAACGACGCCAACGGCAGCTGACTCAACAAGGACTTGCTTTCCACCTTCGAGGCCAGTCGGCTAGGACCATCTGCGGGGTTAAGTTCGCTCGGTATCCACCGAAAGTGCACATCAACATCATAGAGCAAAGCTGTAGCGTAAAGTCTCCTGATATGTCGAAGGATGCGAAAGTTTCGAGCTCTTCCCCTCTCGAAGGCCAAAACTGCGCTCATGCTGTCTGAAAGGAGCAGTTGTCTATACCGCCCATGTCCACCCTTCTCAACTGAGATCTCAAAGCTCTTCACCAAGGCCCTGGCTTCAAGATGTACGATGTGTTCAGGTCGGCTCCATTCTCCAGCCTGAGCGATGTCCCAAGCACTTTTGGAGAGGAGCGCACCCGAGATTTCTGGGAAGGAATCATCAATCTCCCAGCCTGCTGCATTGAGGTACTCCTCTGATCGCATCTCACCTGCCCGCCATTGACCGGTGACACCATCTTTTACAAAGCCTGCAGAAGACAGAGCGCTCTCTCTGGCGTTGTGGCCCCCCGATCGCCTGAACCTCGATCTTTCCTTGACGTCGCCAGCATTCTTTGCCTCGAGTGCGTTCCAACGCGCACTGCAAACTCCGAAGCCTTCTTCACTGGCGTCTGAGGCGTAGACGACCTCGGACCATGGCCTCGTCCAGTCACACACAAGGAAGCTCATCAAGCCAGCAAACACCCTTATCTCCACTTTCACAGAGGGCCAAAGTGCCGCACTCTGCTCGTAGTGCTTCTGTATGAACTTGTAGACGGCATGAAAGACTGACAAGGTACCCCGATTCAGGAGTCCGCAATAAGTGCAGTGTCCAACTACCCTTTCAAGTGCACGGCCTGAGCATCGCCCTCGACGAAGAAGAGCGCGGAGACCTGCCCGCACTCGATGGAAGCGCTCGGGAGTCAAAGTCGTGGTGAGGGAGGCCCCGTTCAACTCAACCCCCAAGGCCCGGACGGATTCCTGGCCTACTTCGCCCCCATGCAACAGGAGCCCCTTGTCATTGAAGACCTTCGTAAGCTGATCTAGCCCTGCAGCGACTTTCTCCTCTGACAATGACATGACCCCCAGATTGTCTACATAAACGTAATGGTGAGTGCGCTCAGGATCTCCATCAGAAAATGAGACTGGGGCGCCACGATCACTGGCCAGATGGCTCCCAGCAAGAGCCGGCACCTGGCGCATGAGTTGTTCACTTATTCGCTGCGCAAAATAGAGTGACCACGAGAAC